CCCCATCTCTGTGACAGACTGAGGGCCTCCTTTTTGCCTGTATCAGTCAGGACTCTCTAAGAGTGATGGAGGTCAGTGCACATCAGGGGGAAACTGGCTCGTGCACATGAACAGTCTAAAGGTGGACTTGGACTTCAGGCATGGCTGCATCCAGGGCCTTGGTTAGTGCTCTCAGGGTCTGTCTGTCTCCCCTGTCCCTCTGGGTTCCGGGACTGGCTTTACTCTCCAGAGGGTCTCTCCTCTGGGCTGAAACCTCACAGCCCATAACCCCAGGGAGGAAAAGAGAGGGAGCGCCCTTTCTCTGTCCCAGGGTCTATGTCATTCATAAATCAAATCTTAGCGAGAGTTACGTGCCCATTTCTCAACCAATCACTGTGCTTGAGGTGGGGTGAGTCCTGCTGGCCAGGCCTCCGGCTCAGGCCCACCACTGTGGCCAGCGCCTTTGGGGCCAGCCTTATGTGAGTCACAAGAACGGGTCCCCATAGGACATAGACTCCTACAGTGACAGGAAGAGCAAGAAGCTCTGCACAGACCAAAGCCACGAGGACCTCTGCAGAGTCCGTGTTCTTCGCTCGCAGCAGCTCACACACCCCGTCCTTTGCCTGAGAAAAACTCCTACTTTAGCCACGTGGGATTCCATAACGGTATCTCTTTCGCGTGCTTCTCTTGCGTGATTATGCACAGTCTGTACTCGCTGCCTGCAAATCCCCCCGGACACCGTGTGTCCTGCCCCCGCTTCCCACCTGATCGACGTAACAGCACTGTCGTTTGTTGTTTTTTTCCTGCTCTGGCTGCAATTTACAGAAAGCTGTGTAATTAAATGGCTTAGGCCCGGAGGAAAACGGTGTTTTCCCACACACGAGGAAGCCAGGGCAGGGCAGCACGAGGTCAGCCAAGTCCGTGGCTCGGGCTCTCTCCATGTCCCCTCGCCATCCTCTGTGTCAGCTCGTCCTCAGGGTGCTCCCCTCGGGGCTGCAGGACAGCTGCACGGTCGGGCGCCACACCAGATGGACAGCAGCCTGCAGAAGGCATGACTCCGGCTGCCCCGTTACTTCTTGTGCCGGAACCGAGTCCCTGGCGTTACCTGCCCCGCGCTGTCCAATCGGATGGCCCTTGGTATTGGCATTTTAATTCATTAGATTCAATAAAATCAAGTGTTCCCAGTCATACTGGCCACGTTTCCATTATTACAGCACCTCCATGGGACACCCCCTCCTCCCGTCGCCGGCAAGAATACAATGACTCTGATGGTAAAACATCAGCCATGGAGCCCATCGGCGATCAATTATGGAGCTCCGATTTTGTGCCTTGACCTTGAGGCAGCTGAGAATGCAAAGACAGACAGGTCCGTACAGCTCCAGGCACGTATCCTCTGGCAACAGATGGATGTGTAGACAGCCTCAAAGAAAGGCGCCTTTCGTAAAGTCCGAGGACCCAAGGGCTTCTCCGTGCAAGGGCGGCCGCCTCTGACGGAGACCTGGGGGGCCAGCTGCAGAGCGCGTCCACGGCCACAGCGTCCCGCGTGGAGTGGAGACCTCGGTTAAGCGGCCGTGGCAATCCCCCAGACAAGTGAAAATGAAGGTTAAGAAAGAACAGAAACCAGGAGACAAAGGCAGACATTGCCTTCCGCGTCTGAGTCCATTGAAAGTTAAGAACTAGGCTGTCTTTGTAAAAAAAAAAAAAAAAAAAAAAATCAGGATTTCACAGCATAGGTTGGGGCAAAGTAGGTTTACAGTTGTTCTTATGGCAGGATCTCACAGCATAGGTTGGGGCAAAGTAGGTTTACAGTTGTTCTTATGGAAAATAATACAATAATTAATAAATAATAATACAAGAATAAACTCTGTTTCGCTGACTCAAAACCGTACACCTACTTTTGCCCCAC